CTATCCTGTCACAATACATTTGGACGCATTCCCGTTAACCAAACGACTGAAGTCACTGTGAACAAGGACACACAGACTCCAGGAGGCACAACAAGGTTTAGTCTGAAATCAGGAGCAGTCAAGTGCTATTACATTACTGCAGAACACAGGAGGGCCTTTCTTGGTCAGATGAGGGAAATGGTACATGAAGATGGATCAAATGTTCCACATGCTGACCTGCACAAGACGCGTGTGAGGAAAGATGAGCAGGCCCGTAGCCAGCTTTGTATTGGGGGGGGTTCGTTTTTAATGTTGGCAATTTGCTCGGCAGGGGCGTGTACAGGATTTGTACCAGGGGGGGTCTAACCGTAACCCGAAGTTGCGAGCACGCGAAGGGGGGGTCTGGGGGGCCGTCCCCAGAAAATTTTTAAAATTACACCCCCTCAGATGCGTTTTCTGCGCGAGCAAGGTGGGGTCGCGACTCCCTGGACCCCCCCTGTACACGCCCTGCTCGGGCGCGAAGCGACAGGCGAGGGAGCCAGCGACCGAGCGGGGGAGGGTGCGGGAGGGAGTGTTCACTGTTCACGCTCCCCGCACGATGGAGATTTTGCAATTATTACACTAAAATAGAGCGACCTGAGGTGAAATTCTTGCAAATTAAAATTTTTTTTTTTTGGCTTGGGGCCGGGGGGGGGGTTCGTTCGAACCCCCCGAACCCCCTGGCTACGGGCCTGGATGAGGATGCTGTTTCGACAATCGTACATCTGGTGAAGAGCTGGGTAAATCCATTTGAAGAAGCCCACGAACTTATCAGTATCTCGACAGCAAAAAAAAGCCCCCAAAGATATCTGCTCGGATTTGAAGAATGCCAGAGACATTGGAGTTCAATGCTACACCGACTTCAAAGCTGAGAGACTCGAGACGGACCCACCAACCAAACGCTTTCATGATCCCATGAAAATGAACAAACTGAAGACCTTCAGCAATTTATGCAAGAAGAAAAAAGTCCAGATGAGTGGCAGATCCGTGATTCTTCAAGGTGACAGAGCATTGTTTGGTCGCATCATTGTGATGGCACAGGGACGAAATCTGCAAATGGCTGATGTACTATCCCATCCTCTTGGTCTATTACCATGGGCACTGGCAACCCCAGAAGGTCTTCACTGTAAAACCAACAAGGCTGCTCTTGCTAGTTATCTACAAAAGAATGCCCCAGCTGACAAACTTCCTGATCATTCTGCAACCATAATAGATGGAATGAGCATAATCCAGAAGGTGAAAGGTCTGAAGGAAACCAAGTCAACTTTGAGGAAATTCCCCAGTTTGTTTTGTGCATGGCACTGAATGATGGCAGCACTAGTGACAGGATCGACATCGTCTTCGACACCTACAAAGATACATCCATCAAGAACTGTAAGGCTCGCCAGAGGAGAGGAACTTGGCCTGAAGCTTCAGAACATCACAGCATCGCAAATTGTAAGGCAATGGAGAAGCTATTGGCCCATGTTGGGAATAAGTCTAGCCTCATTTCATTTCTGGTGAGCGAATGGAGGAAACCAGATTACACCAAGCGTCTGAATGGAAAGGTCTTATTTGTAACAACTGAAAACAAGTGTTACAAAATCACCACGGAAGGACACCAGGAGGTGCTTGAGCTTCAAAGTACACACGAGGAAGCAGATGGTCGACTCTTACTTCACGCTGCTCATGCTGCACAGACTGGATATCCAGCAGTTGTAATCAGCTCCGATGACACCGACGTATTCATCATGGCGTTGGCGTTTCATACTCAAATTCAATCACCATTGTTCCAGAAATGTGGCACCAAAGATCGGAAACGAATCATTGACATTACCAAAATTGCAGCTTCAGTGGGCGCAGATGTTTGTCATGGACTTATAGGGATGCATGCTTACACAGGTTGGCAACACTGTCAGCACATTTGCAGGCAAAGGCAAACTAGGAGCGCTTAAAATGCTTAGGTCTAGCAAAGAGGTCCAAGAAACGTTCGCCGAGTTGGGACAAGAATGGAATGTGGCCGATGAGCTTATGGATAAGCTGGAGAATATCACATGCCTCCTATATGCATCCAGGTCTGGTACAAAGGAACTTAATAGCCTTCGATACCATCTATTCTGTGCGAAGAAGGGGGAGATTGAGAGCCACCAATTGCCTCCATGCAATGACTGCTTCCGAAAACACGTACAGCGAGCCAATTACCAGGCAGCAATTTGGAAACGAAGCCTTCAGAGGCACACAATGACGCCCAGCCCAGTTGGAAAGGGATGGAAATGGGATGATCAGGATGAAACAACTCTGGCTGTGGACTGGATGAGTGGACAGCCAGCACCTCAGGCTCTTCTGGATTTGTTGGCCTGTAATTGTTCCAGGAGCTGCAAGCTACCAAATTGTGTCTGCATTGCCAGTGGACTGAAATGTACAGACATGTGTAAACTTGCTGTCTGCGACAATCAGCCATTGTCTGACGGGTCAGACAACGACAGCCTCGACGAAGATGATTCATCTGACGAGGAGCAAGAATACGGATTCTGAGCAAAATATGCTGCGCATCTAAAAGGACACTTTCGTGATGTTTTTTCAGACGTAAGCATTAGTTAGTATGTGTTTAATTTCAATGCCTGTAATCTGTGTCAATTGTGTTAAAAATTAACTGGTAATAACAATGTATAATATAACAAGGCGTGTTAAAAATTGACTGGGTAATAACAATGTATAATATAACAAGGCGTATTTAATCGGGAGATCATTTAATGATAACATAATTATGATAAACCTAGTGTGGAGCAATTTTGCATGTATTGTGAAATATAATGTACCTGATGTTACATACCTACCATGGGATACTAGCTAATACCAAAAATTAAACTAAAACCTAAAATGTCAAAATCTAAGTTTTGTTCCCAAATATCAAAATTAGGGTATGGTTGGACTTTGCCAAGATATGTGCCACAAACAACCACCATATTACAAAGTAATGATATATTCCAATGCAGTGGGTCCTTGTGAAGTTTGGATGGGTAATATGTTACTCTGGGAGTTTTCATTTGTGAATTATTGACAGAAACGTGCAATGTGAAATTTTGAAGTCAAAGCGATTTCTGCCACTTTTTCACTAAAGTTAACATATTTTTGGTCATATATACAAAATTTTGACAAATAACCCACAAATGTTTATATTGCTAATACTATATTAGTTGGCATCCAGTAGGCAAATTATTGGCACTATGTAGTCCTTAACAAAATATTTATTTCAATTTTACCAAATATCACATATTTTGGCAAAGCGAAGAAGGGGTATAATACTATTTCGAGTGATAACACAGAGATGGCCGAGAGTTATACACTGCTATCACATTTTTTTCATATCTAGGATATATATCTTGCTAAAAATCACAATGAGCCTTACTCCATCTGTATGGTACCGACCGGTCAATTTGGGGGGTCTGGCTCATAGCCTATGTGTGTATGTGTATTCATGTATGTATGTAGAGGGATGTGTGAGGTAATGTGTGTAATGGGAAACCGGCAAAAACAATAGGCATATAGAGGGCGCTGATAGGCAAGTGAGTCCTGAGGCGTGTTCAGGAGACCGAACGCTCGCGGAGCGGTCGCGAGCGCTCGCCTTCTGAACGACACTGCGCTCGCGAGCGCTCGCGAGCGTTTGCGCGCAAGTTTGAAAAGCTGTTCGCTCAGCGCGCGAGTTGTTTAAGATGGCGACGAAAATATGGCGAATGCGAATCTAACATTTCTGACGTCAATTTGCAATCTATTTCAACTTTATTTCACTTTTCATTCATTCATTTACTTCTAAATTCAATTCTTATCAATTTCGTCTGCTAATTCGTTTAACAGTACTTGTTCTCTCGCGATTAAAATCTGCTGAGTAACCCTCCATGGGGGCCGCCATCTTTGATCAAGCAAGCGCACAGCCGACGCGCACAGCGAGCGCTCGTGTGTCGTTCAGGAGGCGCTGCGTTCGTTCATCGAGCGTTCGCATCGAGCGCTCGCTCTCCTGAACACGCCTCTGAGCGTGCCAAGCAACAATGTCAGCTGCTGCGAGTTGTTTCTAAACAACTCGCAGCAGCTGACACTGTTGTAAAAGTTAGAACGGTTAGTGGAAACTGTTACTGAAACTGAACTGTTAGTGGAAACTGTACTGTAGTTACCGAGTTGTGTTCTTCAAAACGATATTGTTATTAATATTATCTGTTAGTCTGTGACAATGCCAACCGAATGTTGTGTACCACATTGTGGGAAGAGGGGAGGACATGTTTTCCCTGTATGTAACAAGCGGCGACGTGCGTGGATTAGAGCTGTGAGACGAGGCGAAAATAACTGGAGGCCTTCCAAGTACGCGCGTGTATGTCGAGATCATTTTGATGAATCGGAATACGTTGAGACGACCTCGTATGGCACGTTTTTTTGTTATTAGCAAATTCAGTAATCAGTTGCCCTATTTTATATTCGTTCTTCTACTTCTACGCTATATTGGCCACCATCAACATACTGATGATTATGCCAACGGACGTCGTTGTACTTGTAGACTAGAAGTATAGGCCTACATGTTTCAAATCAACAGCTAATGGTAATGCGAAACAAGCTTTACCAGGCTGCGAGATTAATATCAATACTAATACTAATAGTGACGATACACATTTTCAATATATTATTATAGTTATTACCATTTCTTGGAGAAATCTGAAACAAATAGTAGAAATACTTGTTCTTTGCATTGTAGGTTTTTCTTGGCTCATGGGTTCAAGATGGTGATAGGATAGGATAATGTTTATTACTGGACATGCTCGATCTCTATCCTTGAGCCTTTACATGATGTATATGATGGATCATTGATGATATCTATATATATACATATATATATATATATATATATATATATATATACATATACGTATATATATATGAACTTTGTTATGTATAGCTATAATGTCGAATATGCTGTTAATTGGTATTAGTTATGGCTATATGGTTTATTTTTTCAGGAACTGTGTCACTTTTGAAGAAGTTGAAGTGCACAGCTGTCCCTCACGTCTTTCCATGGAACAGTCGGTGCTCATCCAGTTCTCGGGAGCAGATGGAAAGAGTGAGCGGACGGCAAAGGGCAACTCAAATGCATCTCGAGCTCAAAGACACGCAGCGGTTTAATGCCTTATCGGTACTTGGTGCCGAGGATGATGTTGTAGAAAGTAACATGGATAATTTAGCAGGTAATAAACGAATTAGTGAAAAAGACGTCATTTGTAAATTGTTTTTATTACCAATTAAACATATAATTATTAATTATTAATTCACACTTCAGTGCCTCCAATTTGCATATAAATATTGTTTTTGTCTATTTTACCAGTTTATGGAATACTGAAGAGCCCATGCATATAATAAGTAACAAATTAAATGATTCTATTAATTATTCTAACATCTGATTTTCTTATATTATTAAGATTCAGGTGACAGAAGTTCTACTGATGAAGGAGTCTCTGCGCATGCTGTTGATGTCGCCACGCAGTCTACAGAGTCATGCAGCTACTCGGCCAGAAAATTTTTATTCGATGACAAGGGCATGCAATTTTACACCGGTTTAGATTCTTATAAAAAAATTGAGCTCGTTTTAAACACACTGGGACCAGCAGCATATAGTTTATATTATTTTAACGACACTCTACCGAGTTTGTCGGTACCAGATCATTTTTTTTTAACACTGGTCAAACTGAGAAGGCACACAACCGACTTTGAGCTCAGTCGGCTGTTTGAAATATCTGAAAAGTCGGTAGCTAATATATGCGTAACATGGATCAATTTCATGGCGGTAGAATGGGATGAGATTGACTGGTGGCCGGTAAAAGAACTCGTGAAATATTACATGCCGTCAGATTTTAAAATGAAATTTCCAGCTACACGTGTCATACTGGATGGTACAGAGTGTCCCATCATGAAGCCAGCAGATGCTTTGGCTCAACAGGCTACTTTCTCCTCCTACAAAAATAGGAATACAGTAAAGGTTGTCGTTGGGGCGAGTCCTGGGGGATTAGTGTCATATGTGTCACCAGCTTATGGTGGGTCCACCAGTGACAGGCAAGTAGTCGAAAGAAGTAACTTAATGAAAATCTATGATTCCGGAGACAGTGTTATGGTAGATAAAGGTTTCAGTGTGCAGGATCTGTTCGTGTCATCCAATGTCACCATTAATATACCAACATTTTTCAAAAAGAGAAATCGATTATCTTGTGCGACAGTTATAAATGATCGTAAAATTGCAAGCAAACGTGTCTACATAGAGAGAATTATAGGACTTGCAAAAACGTATAAAATTTTAAGAGAACCTATGAACAACACAGAATTTGCCTTGTCCTCCAAAATACTTAAAGTCTGCTTCTATCTATGCAATTTTCGAGCAAATATTGTTCCAAAAGATGCATGAATCGCAACATTAACTGTCTCCTGAATCACAGATTTTCATTAAGTTACTTCTTTCGACTACATGCCTGTCACTGGTAGACATGGAACCCCAGCATGGTACAGTAAAACTCGCATAAGTTGTTGTCGTCTAATTCGCCAATTCGCACAAGTCGTGATGGAAGCCAAAGTCCCGATTTTCCCTCATAGTAAATCCATTGGAATAGCCCCACCTAATTAGTCGTCATTTATAAGTCGTTATTATGTACAAGTCATCGCCCTCAGACATGTCCCATGTAATACAAACAACAGTAATTTCCCATCTGTACGTCGTCATCAGAAAAGCCTATAGCGTGCACGCCGCGCAGTGTACGGTCTAGGGGATGTGCTACTACAGTTCGTTCCAGAGCACGGCCTCACAGAATTACAGGGCGTCAAGTGACAAGTGACGCTCAAAAAATAGAAAAATAGGAATTTCAGATGTGAAAAAATAGGAGGAAAATAGGAATTTTGGTGAGAAAATATATGTTAAATAGGAATATTTGTTGCATTAGATGGCCTCGATCCCAACACCCCTACAGCCATCCCGATCCACCACAAATGGTTTTATTAACATACATATTTGGAGTTACATCACTTATGGGAGTTTTACTGTATATCTGTTTAGAATTAACGCTCAGTGAACAAGCGGTTATAATTTACTGTTTTTCTTGGAAAGAATCTGTTCTGTTATTTACCATTGTCTAGGGCGAGTTGTATAGAATTACCAGCTGCTCTGGTTATTATGATATTTATCGCGATTGCAGCAAGATAACAGATGCTGCAAGATAGCCAGCTAATTATAGATTTATCAAACAAAGGATCTTCATTGGTCACCGCGGGTTTCAGACTGATATTGAGGTTACTGTAGCCATTGATTATACAGTCCGTGATGAGTTAACTAACGCAAACAGTCATGCGTGTTGATCGTATAGTAAGGCATGTAATTCGCCAGAATCTCTGTTAGGCTTGTCCGCGACAATGGGGTTAGTTTATATGCTGATTTATACTGACGTTTTTTTATCTGCGTTTTTATGTTGACTTTATCCAAGTCATTTTAGAATACTTCAAAGTAATCTGAGTACATAAGCCTGTTCACTATGGCATCTCTAAAATAATTCTTGTAGAAGTTGATAAGCTGGTTCACCATAACACGGATGAAAGCATCATCTCGCTCTATTTCTATACATCTAAGTTCTTTAAAGGTGTAAATGACAAAGTGACATTGTTTCATATTGGTGCAAAGTAACTGCCCCTGGACTTGATAGTAGTAGTCATTATTATGGTTAAGGGTAACTAAACCCATCGTCGAATTTTTCAAGGTAGGGCACTGTAATATGGTCAATGACTTTATCTCTGCTTGCGTAAGGGCATTTGATTTCGAGTAATGTATCACTATTGATGATCCGATCTGGTGATGCTGCAAGAACTGGGTGCTCTTCGTAAGCAAAGAGTCCACACTCATGACTCTTGACAGTAAACAGTTTTTCAAACTGTTCTGCTGCCACTGACTCGAACCTTCTCCCATGCATAATGGCAGGACATAGAATGTCCTTGCTGTGGCTTAAAGACCTAGCAAGTCTGTCCATATCGGTTCTGCTAGTAGCCTTACAAATTCTACCAAAATTTGAAGCTGTAAGCCTCTTTTGCCTTTCTGCCCGCCATAATTTGTTTCTGCCCTGTCCTCTGGTGTCATTTTCTAATTTAATAATCTCTGCTTATCTTCAGTGATGGACGATATCTGTAAAATCGATACATTTCTAAAAACCAATTGTTTAAACTGATATTATACCAATAAAAATTTCTCGCAGTTCTGGGCGATGTAGTACATAAATTAACAATTTTTTCTTCATGTAAACAGTATTTAGACTACCTAGTAAAATCACAGTCAAATAAACTATGAAATATTCAAACTAAAAGATTTGTGTGGTAATTGATTACTCTATAGTCAAGTGATGTTGTATATTTTCAACTAATATTTACCATTGATTTTTTTAAGAACTCGTCTACATCACTCAGCTCGAGGTAGTCATGGTCTAGTGTAATGGCAAGCGGGTTTGCTGGACAAAACAGCTGCATTACGGGCATGTTTTTATCTATCTGGAAGAAGTTTATGGCACACATTGTAATATTGATTTACTATATTTACTCCAAAAAACAGCACCTTCATAACGATTTCTAGTGAGATAGATGAATTTATATTAGGTCTGTGAATGTGCCAAGCCTTTGGTAACCTATGTCACAACAACATTTAAAAAACACAAATATAAACGGGCACCTGATAGTTTACACAGAGGTTACGAATGTAATCTATCTTTCCTTCCTGATTTCTGTGCTCCTGTGGCCTTGGATCAAAATCGAAATGTCCCTTTCCTCTGAGTTTTTGTATATCAGAAGATTTAATAGGACTTCCGTTATAGGCCTTTGCTCTATGGAAACTCTGTAGTACCTAGAGAATAATGTACTGTACGTGACTGTACCAGTTCAGTTTAGTTTGTTTAACCACATTTTCTGTGCTTCAGTTTAATCATGTGTGTTACAGATTTTTGTAACTTGCACTCTAAAGAGTTATTCTGACCATCCCTGGGAGTGATTGCAAGAATCAAACTTAATTACCTGCGTGCATGTCTGCTCAGTAATTATTTCGGCATCTCCAAGAAAACGGCATATCCCGTACAGCAGAACCACAACGTGTTTACAGTGGGCAGTAGGCCCTTGACCGGCACCGCACTCACACTGAGCCTCTAAAACCACGCCACTGGTGTTAAGGCATGCATCAACTTTGTAGACAACTTGTTTTTTCATTTCGGCCCAGACAACAGATGTAAAATATATTTTATCGTTGTCTTTGCTCACTCTGACATAGCGAAGGAACCTGAAAATCAAGTAATTTATATACGCTATGTTTGCTCTATATGTTTATAAATATAATGGGAAATTTTCGGTGTTTCCCGAGAGAAAATCCTTTCCGTGTATTGGGCCAATATGTGAAAGGCATATGAGGGCCTCCATCTCTCCTTTCCCACCAGCTATAAACATTTATATCTGCTCTACCCCTTACGCAAGTATAATTCAATTTACTGTCGCAACAAACCTACGAACTATTGCAATTTGTCACATGATAATTGTGCATAATGGTTTGATATCTGGAAAGGTTACATCACTTGCCTTTGACGATAAAGGTCTTTGCATTTATTCTCTAGGCATTTGTTAAAGAGAAGTAAATATGCTCCAATTTTCTCTTCTGACAGTGGTGGTATGTCAGCTAACATTCCAGCATGAATATCCATAAATCTGTCATAGTTTGGCAGATCCATGGAGTATTCTGCTTGTAGTGGGCTGGCGGTTTGCTGGTTTTTCTTGTAAAATTCCAACCTATTAATTATGACAGCATAAATATTATTGTGCGCGGATTACGTACATGCTTGCCTTAGACCTGAACACAATAATAGTGTACGTGTTACCAGTACTAACTAATTAAAATTGCCAGGCAGTTGCATCAGTTTTCACGTTTTAATTGTCTCCAACGGGAACAGCTTAAAAATGTTACTCGTATCTTTAAAATTGCCAATATATATGTATAGCCACACAATAACCTAACAAATATGGCTATATTTAAAATTAATGCCGAGAAGACAACATGTTACGTAACTCAAGCTTCGTAAGTTGCCTAGTCTCACTGACACTGACACTGAGACTATCTGCATGGGTACGTCAGTATCTTGCCATCTGGCATCTGGGATTGGGGTACAAACGTGACAGTTACCTTGCAATCAAATCTGCCTTTCGGCCTGAAACCTTGGCGTCATACTTCTTAAGTTCTTCCTTTAATGCCTTAATAGTAAAATAATTGTATGCTGACATGTTTATAGTAGTATATCGGAATGTAAAAATGTAAATAAAGGGCGTCTGCACGTACGAACAGTACAGTGACAAAGGCATAGGTCAAAGGTCAAGACTCACTTGCCTATCAGCGCCACTCAGCGGATTAGTTCTGCCGGTTCCCCATTGTTGACCAGTGCAAGTATAGAGGGTTCCGCGACGTGCACTAAAAATAGCAATATTACCTACAATCCCGTGCCGCCGGCCATCCTGGTAGTCGGAATTGCGAACACGTGTTACCGATGTGTGCAATCTAGCGATTTTACATCGATAGATTGTACATTCGATAGTGTTATTATAGTAATCTATATTAGCAGTAAGTGGATCCCGGTTTTGCAGACAGGTTTACCAGTAGTGGGACGGTTTACCTAGGATATTCAAACCTATTGTGCATTTTTTGATAAAAGCACCAATTTTGGCCCAGAGGTAGACCAATATATTATGAACAAATTTAAATGTGGAGCCGTTGCCCAACTGCCCCCTGGCGGCCGTGGCAGCCATTTTCCAAAATGGCCTCCAGCAGACACCCGAAAGACACACAGAAGTTGGATAAAGTTTGCTGCTGAAGGTTTTAGTGAATGGTTATTGAATGATTTGAATCAAGTCATGCCAGATAGCTCTTAGTCACATTTTGGGAGATGCTGCTAATATTAATTAACGTATTTAGGCTAATTGCAGATGAAATGGCGATAAGGAAACCCATGATCAGGCATCAAATGCTGACATTCCTTGTGAATAGGCTAGATTCATTTAAGTTACAGAAATGTTATCTGCCCTTCTTGCTCTGTCTGTTAATAGCTATTCATGGACACTGCCCACGCCAATTAAGATGCCAATTAACAAAATTATTAACACAATTAGGCTAATTACATAGATAATACAACAATAATAACAGAACCAGATAGTGATCATTATGGTGGCTTGCTCTCATCAGATCAATCCTGGGCAAGTCAAATGTTATACTTCTGTGGTCAAGGGACACAACTATCATGTTAATTAACACATAATATGCTAAATGCAATATACAGATAAGTTCAGTTTTACAGTACCTGTGTACTGTCTGGAACAGTTAAGAATCTTCATCTTAAGTTTGCGCGTTCAGTTCTAAGAGCACTCTCCCGCGAAACATGGTGGAAATGCCGACGACACACCCTGAAATAGCCCAGGATTCCGAGCTGGGAACTTCACCGTCCAGAAGACGAACAGGTCGTTCTCCGCCATCCCCGTCGATCGGGCTTACGAGCAGAACAATGCTGCCATCAAAGAAGACGGAGGTGCAGTGGGCCTGACTGACAACCCCAGCGCTCTACGACGGTGGATGGTGGCAGGATCAGGTTGCCACGCTCATCGAACAGTTCCACGATGAAACTGACCCGGGAACAGACCACAAGACACAAGGCACCATGACCAGTCAGCAAGTGTGCAGACTGCTTTCCTGAAAGATGTACAGTCGATGGTCAACGTAATGGAAGACTTGGAGAATCCATTTGTTGAGGAAGTG